TGTACATGGCCTTCTATGGCCTCATGAAAGCTTTTGACTCTTGTCAGCCAAGAAGGGTTGTGGAGGATCTTTCTGAAGTACAGATACCCACCAAAATTTGTCACCATTTTCTGCCTGCTCCATCATGGTATGTGAGTGGTGGTTCTCAGTAATGGATCTATCACCCTTTGAGGTTAAAATGGGGGGAGTTAAGCAAGGCTGTCTCATCAGTCCAACATTCTTCTTAATATTCCTTGCCGTGATGTCACATCTGACCGCCAACAAACTTCCAGCTGCAGTGGAGCTAAACTACCGAATGGATGGCAAGCTGTTTAACCTCAGCCAACTCTGAGCCAAAACCAAGATCACCATGACCTCAATCACTGAGTTCCAGTACACTGATGATGCTGTAGCATGTATTCACTCAGAAGCAGACCTTCAGATAATTGTTGACGTCTTTACTGAGGCATGGAAGAAAATGGGCTGGATGCTTAACGTTCAGAAGACTAAGGTCTTCCACCAACAAGCTCCTAATAAACAGTCCCCAGTTCCATTAATCCAGATCCATGGTGAGACTGTACGGAACATTGAATATTTCCCATATCTCAGAAGCCATCTTTTGCAGAAGGTTGACTTCAATGAAGAAATCCAACATTGCCTAAATGTGCAAGTGTAGACTTTGGATGCCTGAAGAAATGCGTGTTTGAAGATCACAGCATCAGATCTGAAACCAAGCTCATGATTTATCAAGCATTCATGATCCCAATCTTGCTATACAGACCTGAGACATGGACAATGTACAGGAGACATCTAAAGTTTTTGGAGAAGTACCATCAACACTGCCTGTGGAAGACCCTTCAAATCCAGTGGGAAGACAGATGCACCAACATTAGCCTCCTCCTGCAAGCAAACACCATGAGCATTGAGGTGAGATCATCTGACATCAACTTCGTTGGGCCAGCCATGTCAGCCAAATGTCTGACTCCAGACTCCTGAAACAAGTTTTATTCTCCCAGCTCAGCCAACATGTCCACTCAATAGGAGGCCAGAGAAAGCACTTCAGGGATGTTCTTGAGGTCAGCTTAAAAAAATGCAACATCAATATCAACTCATGGGAGGTCATTACCCAAGACCACCCCAAATGGAGGAAGAGTTTGTTGCAAGGATCTCAGTACTTCGAAACCTCACAACAACAGGAGATGGAAGTGTTTGAACAATAAAACCAGTGTGTTGCAGACCAAATCAAGAATCCAGCACCACCCAACCCACACGGAAACACATGCCCAAGTTGCAGTAGAGGCTTTCAATCCTGGGTAGGCCTGATCAGCCATCTTTGGACACACGGATAAGATAATAACAGAGGACAATCATCCTTGACTGTGAGGGTTTGCTGAAGAAGGAGGAAGAAAGAGGACATGTCTGGAGAAGATTGAAGGAACATCAGAAGTGAATGCCTTTTCCTGAAATGCTTTGTGTGTGTGTGTATAATTCTTTACTAGATTTCAGAGAAAATGGAGCAGAAACAGTTATAAACTTGTCATACTCAGCAATTTGTTACATACTGTGCATTCCTGGTAGCCAAAATTAGCCAGGATGTCATGAAGACTCCTTACAAACCTATAACTACATTGATGCCTCTCCAACCGCAAAGATAGCCTCTCTCAGCAAAAAAACCCTCTACAAATTGCACATTATGAAACACATAAAAGAGACACAACCAATAAAATACTAACAAAATATGCCTGTGAAAATGAAGGTAGTGTTTACAAGGGAACCTTGTCTTAAGATATCTGGGTATAAAGTATTTACTGTGGAAAGAAAAACTGGGTCTCATGGCTTTTGGCAGATGTTGCAGAGCAATAAGGAGGAGCTAGGGGCCTCACTTGGATGCTTGATTTATAGCTCAGTGGTTCTCAACTTCATTAGACGTGAGACACTCCTTGGAAAATGCTAGCTCTTAGCTGCCTCTTATTTTTTGATTATGGGGAAATAATAAAGCAGTTTCTCATTTGCGAAGAACTTGGAAAGACCACAACAGGTGAGAGTGTTTTTAATACTATGGATTCCTGCCTGAAATCTCAGACTCATGTTTGCACACCTAACCATGGAAACATTGCATGGCACCTTGGGGCACCCTTGAAAAGATTTTGAGGGACCCTGGTTGAGAATCACTGATATAAATTAGGTCTGCAAAATTAACATTTGCTCTAGCAAAAATATGCTTTCTTGTGAGTTGTCTGTTGCTTTTTGATGGCCTGAACATAGCAAAAGAAGGCAGTGGGGAGAGGCTGGAGGCAGAAGTAATTGTTAGCACTCACAATTGGAAATGGCCAATGCCAATGATTTGTAATGCCCCCTAGTGGATGGGCCATATGCAGATAACAGTTTACTAATTCTCTTAGCCAAAGTGTTTTAAGTCCTCATGTATCTGAGTCCTAAAGCAATGGAAAGGCTCCCACTGATCTATGAGATCATTGGATTAGGCCCTTCATGCTGCACGTCTTATGTTCAGTTCTTGACGGTGACCTGTAGTGATGGCTGTGGGCGAAGGGAATGTGTTTATCTTCTGGACTTAGATGAGAACATGTACTATCTGTCTGGGTGACTTTTTTTGACAGAAGGTTAAGGAAAACAGCACGTAAGTCTCCGTGAGCAAGAGCAAGCATGTTCTTTTAATAACAGCCATTCAGGAAGTTTGTCACAGGACCCTGTTTATCTCATGAATCTGCAACTGTGGAATTTGCTGGGGAATTTAGCTAATGAATTTGCAGGAGGTAGGGCCAGAGGATCATAAAGATCCCCCATGGCTTTAAAAATCTGTAGAATCCAGCCAAAGAAATTCACACTAGCAGATCTCTTTTCACAGATTTGTGCTCCAGGATCTAAAATTTCATTTAGTTGTTTTAGCACTCTTGACTGCAAAGAAAACCATTAAAAATGTCAACTGAACACGGCCTAATGACATGCTGTGATTTAGCTGTGTTAAATACACATGGGCTTTCTTTTGTTAGGTAGGTGGGATGCTACTAATGATATAAAGTCAAGCAGAGCGACACAAGTTTTCACCTAACGCTCCTATTTCCTACACTGGTCTAAACTAATGTCATTGCATTGGCTCTGAAAAAATACATAGGGATTTTCCCTTCAAGCCTTTATATTCTCCCTTTACCTAGCCTTTATATTGTCATACCTCTGAGAGGTATGAACTGTTTTTATTCACTTCTTTGAGTTGTTAGTTTTTAAATCTAAAGATGAAAAATGTCAGCACAGTTAACTCTCTCACTGCTAACTTTTTTCCTTGTTTTTAGCAACACATCCAGCTAGAGGCACTTTATCCCAAAACACCCTATCATGCCAACATTCAGCAGATTATCAGGGGATTTGCTTCATTAACAGGTTCAGTGGCAGAAAAAATGGATTTGAGCATCACTGTTTGCACCAGAAAGAGCTTATCCAAATTAAGTTAAATGTGTCTAAATAATGTACCTGGAGTTTTCTGCACAGGGTTACAGATTGTAGGGCTTTGGGATGATGTCTTGGTGATTTTATTCCTTTGAACGTATTGTCAGTGCTTCATAAATGAGGTCTGTTTCAGTAATTTCTAGTCAAAGCACAAGATCCCGATACCCTTGTAATACAATGTAAGTCTGGTTGAAAAAGGGGATTTTGAGGGACGCCCAGCATAAATCATTGGGTTTTCTAGTTCTTTTCAGTTTCTCATGCTTCCTTAGAGTCTGGGATAATATGATCTGGGGCAAACTGCAGAGTGCATGCTAGTTTTAGAGCAATTGGTCAGAATCTAGCGAATGGACGTCAAGGATGGGGGTAGGGAGAAGGGCTCGATCCTAATGCGACTAGCTCAGTAGGGAGAAACCTGCCAAGCCTGACATTCAAGAAATAATTCTAGTCGGACTAGATGATCTGCTCAGGTCCCTTCCGACCCTAGAAACTATGAAACTATGAAATGTGTGGGTTGGGGGCAGAGGGGGCAATAAAGCTTCCCAAAGCTGCTAGAAATGGATCATGCCCTCAGGGGATAATCATTGAATGGGAATGTTGTTGTTTTACCATAGGCATCCTAATTTACTTATTTTTCCTGGTTTTCTCTTGACGTAATAGAAAAGAAAGAGATGTTTGCCTTCTATCTCCTGAGTGTTTAGCTCAGTTGCCCCCCACCCATATTGCCTGCAAACTCCTGAAATACTATCCAGCTAAATACAACAGGAGCTTTGGCTCAACTCTGAATTTCTATGGGTTTATCCAAACCCAGCTTAACCTCTGACATTTATCTGGTTTACCGAGGGCTACTTGTTCATCTGTATGAAGATGATAATCAAAGGGAAGAGTTGTATGCTTTGTAGATAGACAGAAGCAACTGCTAGACTATGTGGATCAAAAACCCAATGTGCCTTTTAATTAAATCACTGGTTCCCTAGCATCTTTTGTAGAAGCCCCTTCTTTTCTTACTCATTATAGACTCATGTTTGGGCACCTTTATTTACTTCTCACCATGTTCTTGCCACAGAACAGCTTCCATTGTTTATTGTCCTCTTTCCCTTGGTATGCATCTTTTTCCTTTTTTATTTGTATTCTCTGCAGTTTCCCCTCCCAACTTGATGCTCCCTAGGGCAGGCATATGAATATATAGCACTATAATTAAGGCATTTCTAAAGTCCCTCTTGTACTTTAGAAAGATGACCTAAATTGAAGTGGGAGGAGAGGAGAAACACCAGGCTAAATTGAAGGGAGAGGAAAGGAGTGGCTTAAGCCTGCAGGTTTCTACCATGGCTTGTTTTTATGACTGGCTACTGCAGGGGCAAGACAACAGGGCAATGCTGTTGAAGAGCTATCAGCTTTGCCTTATTCATTATGGGAATGGTGATTAAGGCTTTAAATAGTTTTTCTTCCTCCCCCTCTCTGCCCTTTATCTGTCTTCATTTTTAAAGCCCAGGACTACACTAGTCCTCGACCTCTGTTTTGGGAAACACTTACTTGAAGACTTGCTTTTGCTTTTGCTGCAGTTTGACCCCTTGGGTTTGAAGAACGGGGACCCAGTCTGTGCCAGTGCAGTTGCATCCTTTGCACCGTCCTTAGTCTGACCTTCAGAAGAAGACAGCTCCCAGCCTACCTGCTTCCACTCCATCTGAATCTATGACTGGGGGCTCCACCCTAGTCCCACCCTTTGCTTTCCCATTCCAGAAGATGGGTTCATTTCGAAGACCCAGGCCTCGCTTCATGAGCTCTCCAGTGCTCAGTGACTTGCCACGGTTTCAAGCAGCGCGCCAGGCTTTGCAGCTCAGCTCCAACTCTGCATGGAACAGGTGAGGAGGATCCAGTGGGCCTAGGCCAAACATGGCTTGGTTTGTGAAGGTCTCTAGGTATTGACCTCGTGGGTCTGAAATGTGGTACTTAAAGGCTTTTACAACTTAGCTAGTTTGGTAGTAGGCTTGAACAAATTTCTAGAACTTTTCCAGTTTTGTCTACATTGTGGGACTGACCCATCGTCGACACAGATTGGAGACTGGTTGATTTGACCGTGCTCTCTGTGGATGTGTTGAGAGAGACTGTGTCCATATGCACTAACAGTTAAGCCATTTTGGCAGGAGTTCAGGAGGACCCATGGTTGGCAAACAATGTTAGCAAAAGGTCAGTTTTCAAATGCATAGAGAAATCTTTAGCCTTTTGTGGTGGTTTCTAAAGCTGCTTCTGCTCCAATTCTGGCAGCTGGTAAAGTTGTCTGTTGGTGGCATGAAGCTGTATGTGACTTATCCTAGTATTCCCTAATAATCAAGCATCTCCAGTGTATATCATAAAGCAGAAGATACTGGAAAGACCTTGTCTACAGTAGGCAAATAAAATATTAATTAAGAGACTACTTTTGAGTGCACACTAGGAAACATTTTACAAGCAATGACTGCAATACATGGGAGCAGGCTGGATCTGACTGAACTGTTATTATCTACAGCAGAGATATAAAAAGATATGGCTCACAGAGCCATGGCATTAGGCCTGCAGAGCTTCTCATGGGGCCAGCGTAAGGTGGCTGGATGAATGATGGCAGCATTTATTACCACAGCTCCCAGAAATCTGGCAATGGGAAAAGTGGCGGTTGCTGTGGTTTGGGAAGCTGCAGGATTTGACACTTCCACTGCCAAATTTCCAGTCCCACAAGCAGCCGTTGTGGGCCTGATGACATGGTTCTGGATCTGGCTTATGGATCAACCCTATGTGACTTATCCAGACTATAAATCCAGATGAATTTGACAGCCTTGACCTACATAACTTGCCCCAAAAATGTTGCAAAGATTTAGCTTGTACTCCCAGTACCATTTTGTCGTGAAGAACTGAGTTTAACGACACCAAAACTCCTTGTCCTGGGTACTGTGGGAAAGGTCCGGTAGCAGTTCAGGAGCTCACATGCAGCCTTGGTTTTATGATGTATTCTGTGTGCCTATGATGGCTTTCCTTCACCTACTGTAGACACAGGCTACATTTGTTCTGCTCTGTCTCCCATGAGAGACATAGGCAAACAAGAGTGATGATTTCCAGGGGAGAAAAAGTGGAAGTATCTAAGTGCAATTAACCTTCCCACCCCATTATATCCACTTGGCTCTTGGCTGCTGGTTCAGATTGCTCCATGTACTAAATCATCCTGACACGTGTTATTTATGGTTGTAATACTGTCTCATTTCTTTCTGGCAGTGTTCAAACAGCAGTGATAAATGTGTTCAAAGGGGGAGGCTTGCAAAACAACGAACTTTACACCCTCAATGAAAACATCAGGTATGTCGAATTGTGCGCTGAACAGCGTTTTATCTACAGCACAGGTAGCAGAATGGGACTTTTGGGTCAGGTGGGGGGATTGGTGGGTGAGAGACAATGATCTGGCTCTCAAGTGCATAAACTGTATTTTAACTTTCTCTTTTTTCCCCTCTGCCATTGGTTGGGAAGAAACAGGCACCAAGAGGAGCTACACACATACTCTGGGGTGGGGGTGCGGGGGAAATTTAGTGAGAGCAGCTCTTGGGAGCCACTGTAATTAAAATGCCTGCAGCATCTTGTGTATTCAGCGTCCTGCATTTCAAAATGGTGGCAGGGACTCTTTAACGAAAGCTTGTTCGATTAATCGAGCCTGCTGTGACACGTTCTAATGAGAACACGTCTGAGCATGTGCAAAAGTGTCCTGTAGCTCTAAGCTCTAGGATCTCCTCCTCTAGCTTGCCTGGATATAGGGCAGGGTTTGTGCTGATTTGGGTAGAAGGGAATTTCTGTTCTCTGGAGGAGTTTGTCTCCCCTTTGGATACTAATGCAGCCTTGCAGCGATTTTGCAATTGTACCATGAACCTTGTAACGATTGATGTTTTTCCCTAAAGCCCAGGCTCCTACAGATGTAAGATTACATCAGTTTCTCCAGTTTCATGAACAAAAAATGTGGCTGGACCTTGTGAATATTGAGTAAAACTTAGGAAATAAAAGCCCTAAAGTTTCAAAACCTGGAAGGCAAATAATAAGAAGACCTAACCTTCTCTCAGCCATCTGTTAAGCAAAATGGTATGGTTTTGGTTGGACTTATTCATGGGTGCTCAGAAAGTTGAAGTTGGCAGTATAGATGTTGCTAAGACTGCCTTATCAAAGGCATCTTGAAACCCTGTCTTAGGCAGGCAGAATCTTTGCTGAATGTGATCTCTTTGCTTATGGTTTATTTGCTTATGGGGTCTGAACAGAACTATTTTCAATAATTGTTTCAAAAGATGAGACTGCATCCTGACTCTACTAGAGAATAAAGGTAAAACCTAGTTACCCTTTCATTTCATTGCCTGGCCAACACCGAAGAAAAAATCCTGTTTCAAAACTTACTGATTACAGATTTGGAATGGGTTCAGTAGAAAAGGTTCTAGCTGCCAGAAGCATGGGCTGTATTATAACTCCAGCTGTTTTTAAAATTGGTTTCTCTGAACTGGTTTTAAAATAGGTTCCAGTTGTTAGGAAAGTTTCCCTTATGTAGACAGGCCTTTGCAACTGGCTCTATTACTTGAAAACTACTTTCAGCAGTAGGTGAACTTCCTAATATAGGAAGGTAGGAGTGCATTCTAAACGAGTCGTTGTCTGCCTCACAAAGACCACTTTATTCTTGCCCCAGCAGCTAATGAGACTGGTTTAAGATACTTTCTCAGGGGCAGATGTCCACAGAGGTCATGAAAAGTGTGATCTCGTTTTTCCTTCTTTCTCACCACACCTGTGTTCATTCAGTTTGAACATTTTCAGAGAAGGGGAAGTTAAATTAGTATAAAATATGAATCATAAGACCTTATTGCAGTTCTGCTGTGCACTGGTATAGGTTAAAGTTCAGGTACCTGTTCCAGCTCTAGCTCTTATTTTCAGCAGTCTAACCACCCCTTTCTCCACTTTCCAAAGAAATACTATTTAGAGATCATGAAACTTCTCTGACCTAATCGCAGCCCAAAGGTAAAAGTTTAAGAAATTCCATTGAGTTAGACAATTCCTTTCATGCCTCTAATGACTGCTTCATGTGCTGCCATTGGAGTAAGAACTCAACTTCATTTTTTTAATGCTTGCCAAAAATTTAGTCCTCCAGTAGATAAGCTGCCTTCATTACTAAATGAAGAAGTATTGTTTAAAAATAAGTCTTTCTGAATAGCATAGTTCATGGTGACCTCATTTTCATTTGCTGAAGTTTTATAGATGGTAAAGAGCTGATTGAAGAACAGATTTTTTTTTGTTGTGAAATCCAGAAATTGTCTGCTCAGATTTAGCAGGGAGCGTGTTCCTGTATATACAGACAAAAGCACATGTCTTGAGATGAATGACTGCTGTTCTTAACAGGTGCCTCAAATGATGGTTATGTCTCAAAGTGTCAGCTCCTAAATAAACAGCTTTAAAAATTACAGTACATTCATTTCAACTAAGGGAAGCAATGGATTTGCATCTGCAGGCATGTACGCAAACAGCTTTGAAGTTTGGCACCTGTGACTCTCCATCTATTGTTCAGCAAACCAGAGATGTAACGTCGGCAGAATGTGCCTCAATACTCTCTCGTCCTTCTCCCACTGCCTCTTGCTTCAGCACTGGGCAGCAGGCAGGAACAGTGATCAGGCGACGTGTGATGGAGTGCATGATTTTCTGGGAACTGTATTTCTCTATAGTGGCAATAGAGTTTGTTGCTGCTGGGGGCAAACTTCCACCTCATTTTTTTTGCTGCAGAAGTCCATGTGAAGAAGGCAGAAAAAATGCTGATTTCAGCGGGAAAAAATAGGCCTCAGTTCTTTCTCCTATCAGCCACTCTACAAAAAAACTCTGATGCCCAGAATGCCTTGTGCTCTATGATATACACTGCCTGCACCAACTGCTTCCTTCAGCCCTCTGTGTAGGTGCAACATGAGATGGGAGAGTGAGGCACAGCCTCTCCATCCTTCTGCACCCCTCCTCCCCTTTGGCAGCACCCAGGGCATGTACCCTGCTTGCCCATCCCATGTTATGCTACTGCAGCAGTGTCAGCTCTGCCTGCATGATGAGCTGAGACCTGGCGAAAAAACAAACCTGTAGAAAAGCCAACTCTTGTGTTTCTTGAGTTTGAATTGGCACCCTTTCCTCATTCATAACCCACCTAACATGCATGTTTTGAAAAAAATGTACAGCGAACATCCCCTGGATTCTCCACAGATCTTATTTACGTGATTCTGGGAATGCAGGGGGGACTTTCCGACTGGGGTAGTGGTGACTGAATTACGACACAAGTGATTGCTAAACACTTTGCTCTGGATTGCTGCCACAACGCTGCTCTTGTCATTGTGCTCTTTCCCTCCTCTTTCCCCTCTTTTCCCCCACCAAACCACCCCCCCGACACACAATTTAGACTGAAATCTTTGCATAATGCGTATGGTCCTGGGAGGGAGCTATACGAGTGTTCAGAAGGAATTAAAGCACCAATAGCTCAATCTTTATGAAAGAAATATTTTATCATGAGAATCTACTTTGAATGAAGACTACGAAAAAAATCTGTAGTGGTGTCATCAGCTAGTTAGAACATAGGCCTCGGGATTGGACCTCTCGCTGGCTCTAATATCAGTCCCATCGCAATCTCTCTGTGTTAATTCTGAGACAGTCATTCTACATCTCTGTGGGTATGTCCTCATTGTACAGTTCAACCCTGGCATGGGCATCTCCTGCCTGCAAAGCCTTTCCTGTGATACTGGGTTCTCACAGGTCTTCTGCCTGCCTGCATGCATCTGTAGCTCTGGGATGCAGCATGCTCAGGGCAGAGAATTCAACCATCAGACTCTAACAAGTCTCTACTGAACATGAACAACCTGTGATGTTTTTAGAGGTATTCAATTTGGCTTTGGGGTTAATTTTTATAGGAACAGCAAAAAAACACATCTTTCTGATCTCCCTTCGCTGTCACCAAATTCTAGGCTCCTTGCTCCAAAGCACCGGAATATTGCACCGTTTCAACAGTACAGTTCACATTAAGACAAAATTGCACATTTCCCCAGTCTTGCTGTTGGATACTACTGAACTAAACAAAACTTTTCAAGAAAAATTCACCCTTGAGGTGGAGACCTGGCAGAGGAATTTTGAGCCTGAATGGCTGAAGGACTGAAAATTGTCTCTGTACCATATTTACTCAAATAGAAGTTGACCCTGAATTTAAGATGACCTTCCCAATAATTAGATTCTATATATGGAAAATGTATAAATTTGTGATAATTTTCCAGGTATAGATTCGAATAATCAGAGGGTTGTCTGGAATTTTTCCCTCCCATGGCTGCAAGATGTGGTGGGGGGAGGGTGTCATAGATATCATAGACATTTGGCCTGGAAGGGACCCCGGAAGATCATTGAGTCGAGCCCCCTGCCCGAGGGGCAGGAAGTCAGTGGGGATCATAGGATCCCAGCAAGATAAGCATCCAAATGTGTCTTGAAGGTGTTCAAAGTGGGTGCTTGAACTGCCTCTGGTGGCAGTCTGTTCCAAACCTTGGGGACTCAGACAGTGAAGAAGTTCTTTCTTATGTCCAGCCTGAATTGGTCACAGCAGAGTTCGTGACCATTCGATCTTGTCATCCCTTGGGGGGTTCTGATGAACAGACATTCCCCACAGATCCTGATAAGCAACCCTGATAAATTTATAGGTGGCCACCAGATCACACCTGA